TTCTTTCATTTCCCAGATTCTGGACTTTATCTATTGACCGGTTTTGATTTTTATTTTGATCTATTTTGAATTGCGTGACACTGAAAACCAGCAATTACTTCGTATCGACTGAGAAATTCTGAGAATAAATTGGCTCTTCCACAGCCCCGCACCAATTATTTAAAGAGAAGCTTTTCCCACAGGAGTGCTATGTTGTGGAACAGCCTTTCTCATGAGCACTTTCAGTTTCAGTTTCTCATCTACAGTTTCTTTAAGCGAATTTAAAGGTAAAATGCATCATTACAGCTGTGAATGAGACACGGCATCCTTGAAAAGGAACTTTAGTAATATGATAGGTTTTTATTCTTATGTTGTATTTATTATTAGTTAGTTTAGTTAGGCAGACTCAGATATTATACCTTAAAATTATGTTGAAGGAATTTTTACCATGTATAAACAAAGTTATCAACTCAACTCAACGAATCCCTAACAGGTACCAAGATTTTGTGGGCGCGGTTTGAAATGATTTTACCCTAAGAAGTACCTATTCTAAAACAGCACATTATCTCCTGTCGTATTTTTTTCGGCTCAGTACCCTGATAGGTACCGCGAAAGCTCCCGCTGTGGACCTTTTGAGGCTGAGCAACCCAATAAGTACCAGAACAGCGTTTTTAACCCCTGATAGGCGCGACGAGCACTCCCATCCTTTTTATATATGAGAGTTCCCCCCAGGGCTGTACCCCACTAGGGAAATATTTCATGGGCTAATTGACCTAAGGAACCTTGAATTTGTAGCACACTTGTTACAAAATGATTTATCATACTGTANCCCCCCCTCCCCCATCCTCCCAGGATAAGTCTCGCTGCTGTGTATATAAAATGTGAAGGTTATCACAATGTTAATTAAATTTTGGGTGTTTTGCCCGTTTCGAGACATTACCGGAGATGTCCTTTCCCTTCTGTTTTATTTTTAGAAGATCCCTATGATGAGCCAGACGAAATAATGGGTAAGCTGGAATTCTCTGAATTATAATTATGAGAACCTCAAGTTTCCATAGTCAATTCTTTTATCGCGCTCACAACTGATCTGTTTTGCACTTTTTTGTTTTCTCAAAAGATCCCGATGATGAATCAGAAGAAATGGGTAATTAATATTTGTTCTTTTCGTAAATTGTAATCCTCCCCTCCGTATTAAAAAAAAAAAAGAAAAAAAAGATGGCGACTGTAGATTCTACCACAATACCATGCGAGCCTAACACAGCCCATAACGAACAAGGAAAGCTACATTTTGAAATATTTGTCCCTTTGCAATCGACATTGTGTATGCTAGGTTTGATGGTTTTAGAACGGTTCTGTACGTTTTTGTGAACATTTTTTGAGTTTCCTCGTGCTAAGAATTACAGGTAAATATTCCAGTCGCCATCGTTTTTCCTACAGCTGGGAGGGTTCTAACAACGTTGATGAAACTGAGATAATATTAGTGTTTCTCACCTTTTCCCGGAATCGGCCCCAAAAATATTCTTGAGTGATAGTCATGAAGACATAGCAACTCATGGGAAATTAAATAATACCAGAGGAGCTCTTTGCGCTCTTTTAAAAGTCATATAACGTTTCTCAAATATTATTTTCAGAGGATCCAGAGACGGCGGACTTATACACAATGGGTAAGCTGGGCATCTTGTGGGATAAACTGATCTAACACATTGCATTTGAATGAGTAATGTCTTGGAAAGTTGCTAATTCCTTAAGCCTTTTTTATAAGTTTGCTTACCTGTCTTACCTGGCGGCCAGTGTGTTGACAAAGTAATTGCAATGTTTTTTTTTTTGTTTTTTTTTTTCTAAATATCGCTTTCAGAGGATCCGGAGACGACAGATTTATATGAAATGGGTGAGTCTAGCATGTTTTGGGATACAGTGGCCTATTAAACATATTGCATTTCAATGAGTGATGTCTTGGAAACATTCTAATTTCTTAAGCCCTTTCTTTGGTTACTTCCTCAAATATTTTATGCAGCCAATGTAATGACAATTAAGTACATTGCAACGTATGGAAATGCGCGTCACACACTACTTTTTTAAGTATCGCTTTCAGAGGATCCGGAGACGACAGACTTATATGAAATAGGAGAGTCTGGCATCTTCTGGGATAAACTGATCTAACACATTGCATTTCAATGACTGACGTGTTGGAAAATTTCTGATTTCTTAAGCCTTTTTTTTTTACTTCCTCAAATATTTTATGCAACCCATGTGATGAAAAAGTAATTACAATGTATGGAAACATGCATCATATAATTGTCATATGAGGACATTTCTGATGTAGAATTATCTCGACCTTACTTTTTTTACTCTATATCATTTTTTCTAGGGTATTCTGACGATGATTCAAATGAAATAGGTAAGATAGATTTTTCTGTTGACATGAAGTAAATTTTAATTCACATTTGTTTTGAAGAATTCAAGAGACTCTCTCTGTTATGTACTGGACCATCCTAGATTTAATACACACACAGTTACACCAAGCCTGCTTTTTAGACACAGTCAAATCGTAAACAGTTGTCAAACTGAACGTTTTTCGTCTTGTTTAATTTCTCAGATGAATTTGAGGATGCTTTAGACCAAACGGGTGAGATAATTTTAGCTATGACCTTTATTAAGAGAACTTGGCAATAAAACTTCAACTAATCTTCGAGCTTAAATTTCAAAATATTTATCCCATCTGCATCATATTTCCTAAATGGCAAAACAAGGCATTTATTCATGTGGCGTTTTAGGAAAAACGATTAGAAGCACAATTTACACGTTAAAAAGAGTTAGGGAAATTATCGTTAATAATCATAACAAACAAGTGGCAGTACTTGCTATGCAGAAAGAAAAACCATTTTATCTGTGTTTCTATCGAACGAGAAACATTTGTGAAAGTTTGATGAAATTCGAGAAAAACAGTGAAAATCATACTCGTTCTCCTGAATTTTTCCCCGTAATTTTGTAACTATTTTGTGGCATTTAAGGGTTGTTATAACAGTAGATTTGTCTTCATTGACTGCAAAAAAAAAAAAAAAAAAATTAAAAAGTACTAAGTAATCGATGGAGAATTGACTTAGAAGAAACATTGTACCTATAAAACCAGTTGACCATGTCCCGTCACAAGATCCTCTGTTGTGAATTTTGTAGCCATAGTTTCACTCCCTCTTTTTCAGATTTACAGGATGCAAGACGTCCTCCAAGACCACGACGTCCTCCAAGACCACGACGCCGCCGTTTACGACGTTTTCGTATACGCCGCTTTCGTCCTGTCATCAGAGCCCCACCCAGATTCCGCATAGCCCGGCGCAGATTCCGCAGAGCTCCGCGCAGATTCCGCAGAGTCGTCAGATTCCGCAGAGTCTCCAGATTCCGCAGAGTCCCCAGACTCCGCCGATTCCGCAGTGGGCGAGGTCGTGCTCCCTCATTGCGACCAAGTAAGTAACTGCGTTAAGAAATTAAATGGACACGAATAATGTTTATAAAGGAATATAGAAGATATTTACACGATTTCATTGTTGCGAGGATATGAATATCACAAATACATTTTAAGGCAAAAAAAAAAAAAAAATATGACTGAATCTCAGATCTTTCAATGTGAAGTAAAATAGTTTTTACAAGAAGTCTATAATAGGCCGTTTTCGAGTCTTGTGCCTATGTTTCAATACGAGGCTTCGTGGAAAACCTTTCATATAAAAATGAGCTTTATTTGCATGAAAATGAACCTGTAGGCGGAACACATCGTTTTGACACATAGGCCAAAATAAACTCGGAGGTGGCCTATAGCAGAAGTCTTCAGACTTCTGGTTTAACTTATTGCTAGCTTTGGTATTAAAATAACAGCAAGGTTAGAAATTAAGCAGTCTGGTATTTAGTCCTCATTTTCTGATGAAGCTGATCCTGATATCTCGCGTATATTTTGTGTCTCAACCTCATATATGCAAACAAGCCGTCTCCTCGTCAATTGCCAAATGAGATAACATCCATTCTGTTAAATGTCGAAGTAAAAAAGGAACTTACGTAACTCCGCCAAGATAACGTTCGATAATGCACGGCTTGCTCACATGTAGATTAAGTTTATTGCTATGCAAGGAAATCCGCTGATATACTGAATTAGTATAATTTCAGAGCTGAAAAAAGAGTTTCCAGGAATCTGATTGGTTGAGCGATTTCTTTTATGACATTATATTATATTATCCACGCCAGGCGGTGAACATAACATTTGTGAGCTTGGCTACTAAGCTTGGCACCTTTGCCGTCTCGGCAAGTAAACATGGTGGACAATAGACCAATTTCGATATATTAAAATTCAGCCTAAAACAATTGACCTCAGTACGAGGCTCTGGGGAATAAATACAGAGTTTGTGGGATTTATTCCTCAGAGCCTCGTTCTGAGGTCTATTGTGTTAGGCTGAATTTTAATATATCGAAATTGGTCTATTGCTGAACGAATTTTTCATTTGTTCGGAAGACATCACTACAAGTCCAGGATATTTGTGCATATTTGAAAGGATGGAGAATTTTCAAAGTGACTGCTGTCGCCCTTGGACCAAAAATCCTTTAAAGGCATACATACATTGTAATTCAAGGCATCACGAAGAATCTTATACACAGTGGTTACGTTGATCACCAGTACGTCAGATCGATTGACCAAAATTTATTTTTCTTCAAACTAATTATAAAGCTAAACGTTCGTAGACGATGATGACAACTGTGAATGAAGTCAACAACGATAAAACAAATTTAAGGTAACGGATGAATTTAATTTTCGTAGTGTTTGGCTTGTTTGTTTTACTGCCGAACTAGATGAGTTAATTGATTCACAATCGATGTACATGTAAGCTTATTTTTAAAACTACGGCTGCATGCGTGAACGCAGACGAACAATTGCATCTCTTTTTTACGTTTTAGTCCTTTATTTTCTTTGCTCAGCTCTAAAATTATACTAAAACAATAATTCGCCTCAGGCTCAGTGAACGTTGGTGAATATTCACCTCGACTTCGTCTCGGTGAATATTCACCAATGTTGACTCCGCCTCCGGCGAATAATTGATAAATATAATTCTGCGTATTTACGAACTTTGAACTGCAGTTGGAAGTGACGCAAGATCTTTAATTATAATGTAAGTTTCTTAGCGGATCTTCCATTCTAATTGTTTCCGCTTCATTTTCACAGAGGAAGAGGAAGTAATTAAGGCAATGTCGATATAATGGAAAGAGAAAGAGGCCAAAGTGCAACGCCTGAAGATAGCAAAATGTTGTTCTTTATAAAGGGGAGGTTCCCATGTTGACACGTTAATTGTGACGTCGTCACTGCGTTTCATCAAACGTGAGCGTGGAGAAAACTTAATTTAGGACAAGAACATATAAGAAAAATAGAATTGTTAGATTTAAATTCTACTCAATGATGTAGATTTAAGGGTTTGAAATAAAAGCAATTTTTAACTGAAACATGTTTGGTCCTTTCTCCCATGAACACGATAAAGCAATCACAGATCTTTCAAAAAAATATCGTGAACCAGATTTTATTATTTCGATGCTAATTCAATTTTGGTAGCTCCTTCTCGTCTTTAAACTTCGTAATCAAATGTCAGCGTGGGTACTTCGAAATGCCGGCATTCACTGGCCGTGTTAGAGTATTCAATGTCCAATTCTTCAGAGTTTGTTTACACTACTCATACATGGTATTTGACCCAAAATACTAAATATCCCCGAAATTTTTTAGCACTTGTATTTTCTATGTTTTTGTCAATGGAAACATAAAATAACACAAAGCTGATTTTCAAATTGGGATTTAGTTTTTACTACAATGGAAGTTGTAACAAATGCCACAAAGAGCCAGTTTAAGAAATGCCAGGATACGTAGGATACCCAGGACAACGTGACGATTAAAAAACTTGCTAATTTATTTTCTACTTAACAATATCGCGTTTCTCTGGATCTTGAGTGTTTATCGATCAAAACTATTCTTATCGCGATACGTAACGAGAAAAATTAACTCCAGTAACAGCAATGATGAAAATTGTTTACGTTCTTGCGAGTGTTGCGAAAAAAAAAAAATGGAACTGTTGGTTCAAATAACTTAGATTGTAAAGTAAAACATGCACAGGTGACATCTTTCGACATGACATCTTGATGTAACCTGGCTTACGTTCAAAATGTAAGAAAAACTGACTTTATTACGGTCGAATTCGAATTTAAATGACGAAAGCTGGATTTATTTGACATTAAACTAAAGTTAAGAGTATCAGGAAGTCATTCCGGGAGAAATAAATCGACTGTTTTGAATGTTTACACCTTGCGAATATTAAGTGGCAGTCCCGCTAAAAGCGGTCCACTCGACTTCGGGACCAAAAATAATTTTCCTTCATTTTTTGTCAGTGAAAAGGGTTTGACACGTATATATAAAATAAGCAATTTATTATTTTCCAAATCCCTATTTTTTGCTTTGCTACGAGCCAAAATTGAATTTTGGCCAAACTGAGGTTGCCGACCGTGATCAGAAAGGTAAAATTCACCGAT